GCTCCAGGGTCCTCCCAGGAGCCTTTGCGGTGGAACACCCTCACGGGGTGGGGGGTGGGGGGCTCTGTAGACCCAAGCCCAGAGCCATGGCCCGGGCACCCGTCACCTTGGGTACGAAGGATCAGGGAGGCAGTGCGCTGGGCCTGGCCCCTCCTTTCCAACGTGTTGCCTGGCGCTGACTCGCTCCTCTCGCTTCTCCGCAGGCCCAGCTGGTGGTTCTGTGCCTTCCCCTACAGTTTCCTCATCTTCGTCTACGACGAAATCCGCAAACTCATCCTGCGCAGGAACCCCGGGGGTGAGGGGCTAACCGGGGTAGAGGTGGGAGGCGGTGGGGGGAATGGGACCGGGCAGCTGGAGCGGGAGGCGGGAGAGCGCCGCCTGGTGACGATGCTAACCGCACTCTGTCTTCCCCCTCCTCCCCTCCCCTCGGTACCCCCTCCTCCCTTCCGCGCTGTCTCTCCATCCCCTTGGCACCTCTTCCCTCTCCCCTCCTCTCCGGGCCTTCTCCTTCCGGTTCTTTTCCTGTGTCTCTGCCCCTTTGGGCTTCTTTGTGTCGCTGTCTCTCTCCAGGTTGGGTGGAGAAGGAAACCTACTACTGACCTCAGCCCCACCACGTCTCCCGCCTCTTCCCTGCCCCCGCGAGCCCAGGACCGCGCACTCCAGTCCCCCTCGTTTTGTATTCTGGAGGGAGGGGCCCTCTCTCCCCGTGGCCCCGCCCCCTCAAGCGATCTCCCGCCTCCCTCGCCGACGCCCCGCCCCCTGACTGGCTTCGCGCCCCGCCCCCGCCCCAGCGCCCCGCCCCCTGCCTCTCCCCGCCCTCTCTCTTTTGTGTGTGTCTGTTCCTCTCCTCCTCACCCCTGCCTCCCAGACCCCTCCCTGGACTCTTTTTTACTCCCCGTCGCCTCCTGGCTGATGCCGTCTCTGGTTCTGGACGATTATCAAATATATCAGTGGGGAGAGAGAAGCCATGTGTCGCGCTTTGCTTTGTTGGGGGACGGGGAGCCGGGGTGTGTGGGCGGGACAGCGTTCCCTGTGCTGGCGCCCATGACTGGGTGATTCACAGAAGCCCAGAAATTTAGCCTGGCATGAACTTGGGAGTCATGGAATCTCAAAGCCATCCAATCATGGAGTTTTAGACCCAACAAGGGTTAGTGTGAGAACACTGTGAATTCGCCAGGTGACGGGATCCTGGGATCAGAACACGGGAGAGGGAGTCGGACTCTGAATCCTTTCATACTGGAGAGGACCCTGGGTGGCCATGATGATATAATGGTTCACTGAGCTCCCACTCTGTGCTCTGCCCTCTTCTAAACATTCTACCTGTATTAGTTCACTTAATCCTCACAAGGCACAGAGAGGGAAAGTGACTGGCTCAAGGTCACACAGCTGCGAGGTGACAAATCTGGGATCTGAACCTAGGATGTCCAAGCTCTAAGTCACCATGTTCTTCTCTCTCTTTTTGTTGAGATAAGCTTCCATACAGTGACTTGCACAGATCTCAAAGGCATAGCTCAATGATTTAAATAATTACATCCATGTAGCCACCATTCATATTGAGCTATAGAACATTTACATCTACCCAGAAAGTTCCTTCATGACCCCTTCCCAATCAGCAGCCACAGGCAACCACTGATCTGCTTTCTGTCACCATCTTTTTGTTGTGCCTGTTCTTGGACTCTGTAGAATTAAATCTTCTGGTGTGCTGCCGCAGGTCCTTCTTATCCTCAACATCAGGTCTATGAGGGTCATCCATGGTATCTCAGGTATCGGTAGCCAACACTTTTTCATTGCAGGGTTTCCCACTGTGTGACTATTATGCTACTTGTCAATCCATCCTCCTGTTGATGGATTTGTTGTTTCCCTTTTGGGAGCCTCTAGGAACATTCTAGTAACATCCTCTGATGACACATGTTGACATCTCTGTTGGGTACATGCCTAGAAATGGAATTGCTGATTGGGGATAGACTGTGTTTACCTTTCACAGAAATAGCCAGCCCTTTCCAAAGCTCTTGTGTCATCAACATTGCCACAATGTATCGAAGTTCCAGTTGCTCCACATCCTTGTCAACACTTGCTATTGTCAGTCTTTTGAATTTTAGCCCTTCCGGTTGGGCAGCCCTACCACTTCCCTTGAGATGGCCTTTCTAACAGAGCTGGCAGTGAGAGGAGGGCCTGGGGCTGGTCCTTGGCCTACCTGCCTCCTAGCTCAAATGTCTGGGATGCTGAGAGTCCACATGAGTGTGAGTGTGTGTGCATGCCCACTGCACAAGACGGTGCTGAGGAAGAGTGCCTTAATCTGAAGGGGAAGACAGAGGATAGGGGCCATGACCAGACACCACCTGTGATGCCCAGGGCAGAGCCTGGTCCTGATAAGTGTTGTGAGCCTGGACCTCCCTTAGGGGGGCCAGAGACCTCCTTTATTCATCAGGTACAGAGTGAGGAATACTCCCATAGACAGGTGAGAAATCTGAGGCCCAGAGAGGGCAGGGACTTCCTTGAGGTCACACAGCAGATACATAACCCAGGTTTCCGATTGTCTATCTTCCTACTCTCCCAGCTCCATTTCTTCCAGGGATCCAAGAGACAGGAAGGAGGCCTCAGGCTGGAGGGACCCCCTTATCTCTGTCCATCCCCCTAATTCATGGCTCACTTGCCATAGGCCCGTTTTCCCTGGTCTCCCCTCACCCCCCTGTCTCAGGGATCTTCCCATCTCTCACAATATCTCTGCCTTAAGGCTTCCTCCCACAATCCCTGTTTCAAGGGGCTCCTCCCTCCCATTGCCCTTATGCCAAGTCCCCCCTGCCCCACTCAGAGGGTCCCTCCCCACAATGTCCTTGCCTCTCGACCCCACCGTCCACAGCCCATGCCTTTTGACACCTCCAGGCCTTTGCTTGTTATGTGCTCTGCTCTGAGCAAGTACTCACAGGAACACAAACATGAGTTATGAGTGAAATTACTTTTGTGTTCTATGAGGAAGCCCCAGAGCTCTCATAACAAAAGTTAAATCCCATTTCCCCAAGGTTGGCCCTGGAAGAAGGCAGCTGGGTCTCTGCTTCCAACCCTCTGCTCCTCAAGACTCATCTTCCTCTTGGGGGCTCTTCCGGTTACCTCCGCTGCTCCCATTACTTTGAAATCAGGGGGCTGCTCCCCCATTAATGCTCTGGACTAACTGTGGACTCACAGGAAACCCCCTACCCCAATTTCCTGAAGCCCAGCTCGACCCAAGTGGGAAACCTGAACAAGCTTCTACTAAAAGCCTGGGGTTGACAGAGGAAAAGTGAAAATATTAGTTGCTCACTTGATGCCATAGCCTGCAAAGCTCCTCTGTCCATGGAATTCTCCAGGCAAGAAAACTAGAGTGGGTAGCCATTCCCATCTCCAGGAGATCTTCCCAACCCAGGGATCGAACCCGGGTCTCCCGCATTGCAGGCAGATTCTTTACCGTCTGAGCCACCAAATATCTCATTGGGTATTTTCCTTTAGCCCCACCCAACCTCGGAAAATGAGGTTCTCAGTCTGTGTAAGGAAGCCCAGGCTTCCTGAAACTTCTACACCTTTCTTGAGGCCATTCTGGTGCTCCCCTTAGAACTCTGGCTGGTTTTCTACAACTCACCCCGCAGCAGGGGCGAAGACTGACAGTGTTAAGATTTTGGGAACCAGGGGAAAGAAAGGCTCATATCTCAGACACCAGCCACTCTTTGGAACATCCAAGGGGCCAGTGAGAAGGCTGGGACTTCCCTGGTGATACAGTACTTAAGAATCCACCTTCAAATGCCTGGGACCTGGGTTTGATCCCTGGTCTGGGAACCAAGATCCCACATGTCACAAAGCAACTAAGCACCATGTATTGTAACTAAGAGTTGATGTAGCCCAAAATAAACAAATAAAATTTTTAAAATTTTTGGAGAAAGCTGAACTCTAGAAATAAGTATAACAGCCATGATAATGTAGTGGCAATAGCATGGACTACTGTTTATCGAACAGTTGTGAAATATCAAGACTCTTTCAAGCACTTTACATGAATCATTCAACCCAATCTCAATCCCATGAGTGTGGTAACCCTAGGATCTTTACTGTCCAGATGAAAACACTGAGGTTCAGGGAGGTGATGAGGTCAGCACAGCTTGAAGTTTGACCTCTGACCCCAGAATCCCAGCTCCTTTAGTTATGACATCTACATCTTTAAAAAATTCTCATCCCTTCAATAAAACTGAATGAAAAAGTGAAAAAAAAAATCTCAGCCTTTTCCCACACTTCCCTCCACCCTAACTAAAGCAGGGGCATGCCTAGATTCCTAATCCTAATCGATTCTACCTTGGGAGCCCAAGGGTGGGGGTGGAGCTTTGCTCCCCACCTTAGACACCCCCTCTAGCAACCATGGCCCCATCACTAGCCTCTTAAAGAAGGAAGGAATAGACTCCCACGAATTCTTTACAGTCTCGCTATTCAAAATGTGGGCCATGGAACAGAAGCATCAACATCACCTAGAAACTTGTTAGAAACGCGGATGAAGGGTCTCGCCCTAGATCTGCTGAATCAGAACAGCTGAGTGTTTTATCAAGTGTTTTTTTATACCTCCTAGAGACAGAATGACAGCTCTACACGGTCCCCATTATAGCCTGCACGGGGGAGTACACAGCGTCTTCTTGCCTTTAGAGCTCGCCTAACGCCCTGACTCCTGACAGCCCACCTTCCCCGACTCCACGCGTCCTAATTCGGAAACTACAACTCCCACAATGCTCAGAGGGGCGCTGGGTTATTTTACACGACTACAACTCCCAAAGTGCGTCACGAGTCACACCACCATCATGGTGCCCATTCTCGCCGCCACCATCAGGACTACAACTCCCACAATGCTCGACAGCAGAACTACCGTTCCCCAGCGGCTCCATAGCGACTACACGTCCGCTCCAGCTCTGCTGGGTGAGGCCGGGCTCGGGCGGGGCCCGCGGGGGCTGCAGGGCCCTGGGCTCCTTAGTTCTTCCCCAGACAACACAGACATGGCGACCGAGAAGGACCTGCAGAGGGATGCCGAGGCGGAAGGACTGAGCGCCGCGTGAGCAACCAAGACCCGGGAGTCCTGGTCCCCCGACCCCTCCTCCCTGGGGGTCCTAGGAATCCCGGAGTCTAGACATAAGAGTTTGGGCCTCTGTTGTCCTCTTCGAGGACTCTGGAGTCTGGGCCCTCAGCCCCTATCTCCCCTGAGATCTAGGAGCCTGGGACCATTATCCACCCCAGAACCCCGGAGTCCGACCCCTCTCGGTCCTCTTCTTGCTGAAGGGTCCGGACTCCATCCCGGTCGGTCGATCGCTGACGTGGCCCCTCACCCACCAGGACCCTGCTGCCGAAACTGATTCCATCTGGCGCGGGCCGTGAGTGGCTGGAGCGACGCCGTGCGACCATCCGGTCCTGGGGCTCCTTCGTGGACCAGCGGCGCTTCTCGCGGCCCCGCAACCTGGGCGAGCTGTGCCAGCGCCTCGTACGCAACGTGGAGTACTACCAGAGCAACTATGTGTTCGTGTTTCTGGGCCTCATCCTGTACTGTGTGTGAGTGCCTCTGCGGCCCGTCCGCGCCCCCGTCCCCACCCCACCAGGCTGCGTGGCCCGCGCTGGCCGACCCCGCCCTCAGGATCCGGCCCCACCTCTCACTGCGAGGCCCCATTCCCGTGGGATAGTTCTGCCGGAAGTTTTCACCGAAGGGCCAGGTCCCTAGTGCCCCCCATCAGCCTGGCCAGGATTCAGTGTGACCAAATGTGACCTAGGCTTTCCCGGCCCCAAGCAGATCCCCTGCCATCCGCCGGTGGGAAGGTCAGGGCCTCCTTGTCTGGCTCCCTGACGCATGGCTCCCTGCCCGCTTCCAGGGCGACGTCTCCCATGCTGCTGGTGGCTCTGGCTGTCTTCTTTGGCGCCTGCTACATCCTCTATCTGCGCACGCTGCAGTCCAAGTTTGTGCTGTTCGGTGAGAAATCCCTTGCCCAGACTCTTCACATCCTGGTCTCTTGGAACGCAAACATTTTGACATCAAACCCAGGTCCTTTTGAACCCACGTCTGCCCAAGACTCTATCTACACTAGATTCCTCCAAATTCGGTCCCTTAACGTCTCAGACGCACCTGATGCTCCCACCCACTATCAGCCCCCCAAAATTGCTATCCCCCAAGTGCAGAAGATACCCCAGAACCCACCGCCGCCTGAATCCTCAAAACCTCCTCCTTCCCTCTCCCTCCTGCCTAAACCTCCTGCCAAAAACGTCAGCTGCACGTACCCACATCGGCCACCAGGTGGCGACTTCCCACTGGCCTATATCCGTGCTCCCCCTTTCCTGCTTCCTGGGGTAGAAGTGGAAATCTTGGGATTTCTCAGAGAGGGAAGCTGAGCCTTGTGGCTCAGGTGGTCCAAGACTGGCACCGGAAACGCCGCTGAGAAGAAAGACAGGCCTGGGGACTTCCCTGGTGGTTCAGTGGTTAAGACCATGCTTCCAACGCAGGAGGCGTGGGTTCCATCCCCCATCAGGGAACTAAGTCACACATTATGTGCAGTGCTGGCAGAGGGTTTAGAAATAACAGATGGCCCTGAGTTCCCAACTAGGAGATGCTCAAGGGCTTTGGAGTGGGTATACGGGGGAATTGGGCTCAAATGGACAGGTAGACCTAAGATAGAATGCTTCAGAAGCCTGCTGGTCATGTACACGACAAAGGTGGGCTGGGTGGAGGGGCGCGTCGGGCTAGCCCAGGGCATGGAGGGAGCGCTTGGAGCATAGACACGACTTGGCTTCAGCCACTGCTGCCACCAGCACCTGCAGATCCTACCTTCCAATCCACCACGAGAAGCCAGATATCTGTACAGCCGCCCCTTGGTGTCCATAGGGGATTGTTCCAGGAGCCCCCATGTGGATGGCAAAGTCCACCGATGCTCAAGTCCCTTATGAAAAATGATGTAGTACAATGATCCACGGGTTTCCATCCGTGGATACAGAGGGCCGGCCTATTGTTATGTGAAATTATCCAGTTTTTCCGGCAGCCACAAACCAAATTCTGGTGGAATAATGTGCAGACTCAAAAGACACATCCCCAGGTCAGACTTGGCTCTTGGGCTGCCAGTCAGAGGTTCCAGATCTGCGCGAAGGCAGGTTGGAGCAGGAGAACTATAGTCAGGAGAGGGAGGCTGGGAGCTTCCAGCAGAAGTGGGGTTGAAGGGCAGAGGGCAGGGGGCTGAGGAAGGCACTCTGTGTTGCCACGGTCAGTGGGTGGGGCCAAGGGCTGGAGGGCCTTGGCACAAGTTTAGAGTAGACCCTGAGGCTCCCGGAGCTTGCAAGACCAGAGTTTTGGGGGAGCATCAGGGGTTACTCTGGGAGGAGGCACGAGTCGGAACAGCTGCCCCAGTGCCCTCTGCCCCGCAGGCCGTGAGGTGAGCCCTGCCCATCAGTATGCCCTGGCTGGGGGCGTCTCCTTTCCCTTCTTCTGGCTGGCTGGCGCGGGCTCCGCCGTCTTCTGGGTCCTGGGTGAGTACAGGGTCTGGGCAGCGCTGTGGGCGGTGGGGGCCAGGTGAGGCCACCAGGCCCTGAACTGCCTATTTTCCTGCAGGAGCCACTCTCGTAGTCATCGGCTCCCACGCCGCCTTCCACCAGATGGAGGCTGTGGATGGGGAGGAGCTGCAGATGGAACCCGTGTGATGTGGCTTCGCGGGCCTGCCAGCCTCCTGAGCCAGCTGCCCCTGTTCACCCCGGTCCAACTCAGCTCTGCAACTCCGGCCAAAGGCCCCTTTCCCACGTCAAGACCAGGGAGGGACTCCAGCTTTGGGAATAAAACTGTTAAAGTTGTTCAGCAAATATTCTCCCGAGGTCTTCTGTGGGTCTGTGCTGGTGATGCTGGGGTCCTACAGAGACCAAGAAGGTGGGGGTGGGCCGTGGACACAGGTGGGGGTGGGAAGTGTACAATAAGCCAGATAAATAGCAAATATGATAGGATGGTCAGTGGCAATAAGTTCTAAGGAGGGGAAAAGAGTATGTCAGGGCCCCTGAGATCACCCCCATGTTTCATGATTTGGTAGGAGGACTCAGGACTCGGGCACCAGCCGTATTCACAGCTGTGATTTATTATCGTGAAAGGTTATGAAGCAAAATGTCGCATAGTTGTGTCCGACACTTTGTGACCCCATGGACTGTAGCCCACTAGGCTCCTCTGTCCATGGAATTCTCCAGGCAAGAACACTGCAGTGGGTTGCCATGCCCTTCTCCAGGGGATCGAACCTAGTTCTCCTGCATTACAGGCACTGTTACCTATGAAGCAAAATCAGCAAAGAAAAGAGGCACGTGGGGCGAAGTCCAGAAGAAACCACAAGCTTCCCAGAGCCCTCTCCCAGTGCGGTCACCAGATTGAGTACAGTCGCCACAACAGTGAAATGCTGTCTGCAGAGAAGTTCATCACAGACTCAGTACCCAGAAAGAAAGCAGGTCTTCAGCATAAACAACGTGGTTTGCACAAACAGTGTAGACACAAGAGCCATTCTTTCAGGGAGCAGCAAGGACCCTGCTGAAATCCAGGTTCCCAGAGGCCAGACAGGGGTCACTACACAAGCAAAGCCTCTCTAAGGATCGCCATCTTCATGGTAACTCTTCATAGAGGAAGTTCTGGAAATGAGTTATAGGTTTAAGATGCTTCCCTGAGGTGATGTTCAGTGAAGACTTAAATTGAGTGAGGCAGACTTCCCTGGTGGTTCCAGCAATTAAGAATATGCCTGCCAATGCAGGGAGCATGGGTTTGATCCCTACGCCAGGAAGATTCCACATGTTGCGGGCCAGCTAAGCCCATGCGCCACAGCTACTGAGCCCACGCACCTAGAGCCCCCACTCTGAAACGAGAGAAGCCCCCCACCCCCGCCCCATGGCCAGCAAGGAAGACCCAGCACAGCCAAACAATTTAAGTACATAAATCATGTTAAAAAAAACTGAGTGAGGGAGGGAATTCCCTGGTGGTCCAGTGGTTAGGACTCCTTGCTTTCACTGCCAGGGACCCAGGGTCAGTCCCTGGTCAGGGAATTAAGATCCCATAAGCCATGTGGTGTGGAAAAAAAAATTTTTTTTTGAAAAAGGACCTACTAGCTTTCACACTTAGATATTGGTGGCTAATCACCTTTAGTTTGTGAAGTGAGTGAAAGTCACTCAGGTGTGTCTGACTCTTTGCGACCCCATGGACTGTATAGTCCATGGATTCTCTGGGCCAGAATACTGGAGTGGGTAGCCTTTTCCTTCTCCAGGAGATCTTCCCAACCCAGAGATTAAACCCAGGTATCCTGCATTGCAGGCAGGTTTTTTACCAATTGAGCTATCAGGGAAGTCCCTGAATAATAATAAATTGAGAGCGGGAGCAGCCACAGATCCCTCCCTCCCAGAGGGAGAACGTTCTGGTGAGAGGAAATAGTAGGTGCAAATGCCAGGAGACAGCAGTGGGCCTGGAGGTCTGAGGAAGAGCGAGGAGGCCCGTGTGGCTGGAGCAGATGGGGGCGGGTGGACGGGAGAACTGCCCTCCCTTTGGTGGGGAGGGACGTTGGTTTTCCTGAGTGAGGTGAGAGAGACGCACTTGGCTCTTCGCTGTAACGTGAAGGCCGCTGTGGTACAACCACGGACTAAGAAGAAAGGCACGTGGCAGGGAAAGCAGTTGGCAGGTGAGACGACAAAGAGGTGACAGGGCCGAAGAGCTACTTCAGAGGGGCGGGTCTAGGAGGGCTCTCTCAGGAGGCGGCATTCCCGTGCGCTCTGAGGGACCCAGAGCCGGCCACAGGAAGAGCCGCGGGCGAAGCGGCCTAGCAGAGGCACAGTGCCCCACACAGCCAGCTGAGGCTGGCCTCCCCGGCCTCCGGTCTCGTCAAAACTCACTAGTTCAGTATTCTTTTCAGCGAGTGTTTATTGAGGGCCCACCAAGTGCACAGTGGCCACAGGACTGGAAAAGGCCAGTTTTCACTCCAATCCCGAAGAAAGGCAGTGCCAAAGAAGGCTCAGACTACTGCACGACTGCACTCATCTCACACACTAGTAAAGTGATGCTCAAAATTCTCCAAGCCAGGCTTCAGCAATACATGAACTTCCAGATGTTCAAGCTGGTTTTAGAAAAGGCAGAAGAACCAGAGATCAAATTGCCAACATTTGCTGGATCATCGAGAAAGCAAGAGAGCTCCAGAAAAACATCTATTTCTGCTTTATTGACTATGCCAAAGCCTTTGACTGTGTGGATCACAATAAACTGTGAAAAATTCTGAAAGAGATGGGAATACCAGACCACCTGACCTGCCCCTTGAGAAACCTGTATGCAGGTCAGGAAGCAACAGTTAGAACTGGACATGGAACAATGACTGGTTCCAAATAGGAAAAGGCGTACGTCAAGGCTGTATATTGTCACCCTGCTTATTTAACTTATATGCAGAGTACATCATGAGAAACGCTGGGACGGATGAAGCACAAGCTGGAATCAAGATTCCCAGGAGAAATATCAATAACCTCAGATATGCAGATGACACCACCCTTATGGCAGAAAGTGAAGAACTAAAGAGCCTCTTGATGAAAATGAAAGAGGAGAGTGAAAAAGTTGGCTTAAAGCTCAACATTCAGAAAACTAAGATCATGGCATCCAGTCCCATCACTTCTTGGCAAATAGATGGGGAAATAGTGGAAACAGTGGCTGACTTTATTTTTTTGGGCTTCAGAATCACTGCAGATGTTGACTGCAGCTATGAAATTAAAAGACGCTTACTCCTTGGAAGGAAAGTTATGACCAACCTAGACAGCATATTAAAAAGCAGAGACATTACTTTGTCAACAAAGGTCCATCTAGTCAAGGCTATGGTTTTTCCAGTAGTTACGTACGGATGTGAGAGTTGGACTATAAAGAAAGCTGAGTGCTGAAGAATTGACGGTTTTGAACTGTGGTGTTGGAGAAGACTCTTGAGAGTCCCTTGTACTGCAAGGAGATCCAAGCAGTCCATCCTAAAGGAGATCAGTCCTGGGTGTTCATTGGAAGGACTGATATTGAAGCTAAAACTCCAATATTTTGGCCACCTGATGCGAAGGGGTGACTCATTTGGAAAAGACCCTGATGTTGGGAAAGATTGAAGGCAGGAGGAGAAGGGGACAACAGAGGATGACATGATTAAATGGCATCACTGAATCAATGGACATGAGTTTGGGTAAACTCAGGGAGTTGGTGATGGACAGGGAGGCCTGGCGTGCTGCGGTTCTTGGGGTTGCAAAGAGTTGGACACGACTGAGTGACTGAACTGAACTGAGTGCCCAGTATCGTTCTGGAATTCCGTCACATATGGTGGCCATCAGCCATGTATGGCAGGCTTTCCTGGTGGCTCAGACGGTAAAGCGTCTGGCTGCGATGCAGGAGGCCTGCGTTCGGTCCCTAGGTCGGGAAAATCCCCTGGAGAAGGAAATGGCAACCCACTCCAGTATCCTTCCCCGGGAAATCCCATGGACAGAGGAGCCTGGCAGACTAGTCTGTGGGGCTGCAAAAGAGTCAGACACAATTGAGTGACTTCATAGCCATATATGGTTACTAGCTACTTGAAACATGGCTGATCTTGATTGAGATGTGCTGTGAGTATAAAATATACACCAGATTTCAAAGACTTAGTCGGAAAAGAGTGTAAAATATCTCATTAATAATTTTTATATTGGTTATGTGTTGGAAGGATAATCTGTTGGATGTTGTTGTTTAGCTGCTAAATCATGTCCAACTCTTGTGACCCCCATGGAATATAGCCCACCAGGCTCTTCTATCTGTGGGATTCTCCAGGTAAGAATACTAGAGTGGGTTGCCATTTCCTTCTCCAGGGGATCTTCCCAACCCAGGGTTCTAACCGGAGTCTCCTGCATTGCAGGCAGATTCTTCACCACTAAGCCACCTGGGAAGCTGGTGGATATGTTGGGTACCTGTTGGATATGCTAGGGTTGGATATGTTAGGGTAAATTAGTATTTTCACTTTTTTCTTTACTTTTTAAAATATCAGGGAATTCGCTGGTGGTCTAGTGGTTAGGACTTGGCACTTTCACTATGGGGACTGGGGTTCGATTCCTGGTTAGGGAACTAAGATCCCACATGCCGCACAGCACGGCCAAAAAATGTGATTAGGTAAATAATATAACATTACATCTGTAGCTGCTATCCTGTTTCTAGTAGACATGCCGGCTTAAAAACAACAGCACCACTGTTGAAGAAAGAACAGCACTACAATTGAGGCCCTGCCTTCTTGGAACTCACATTCATGGACCAAACAACCAACCAATAGGAAGCTCTCAGACAGCCAAGCCTACGAAACAGGAGACTGGATGTGACTACAGGGTAATTGTGGAAGGCAGGGGCTCCACTAGAGTGGAGGGGCAGGGACTTGCAGGCAGTGAGGAGGAGCTTGCCCCTCAGAGGTCTCGGGGAAGAGTGTTCTGGCTCGAGGGAATTGCAAAAGTGCAAAGGCCCTGAGGCAGGACTTGCTCAATGACATGGCACTGCAGTGGCTGGGGTGAAGGGAGTGATAAAGGGGTGACCCTGTGGAGGATGTCAGGGGCCAGATCAGGCAGGACCTGGGAGCCACGCGGAGCTTTTGAACTATAGCTTAAGGCAATGTGAAACTATGGAAGGCTTT